TTTTTTTTTTTTTTTTAAAGCTTACAGTCCAGAAATTTGCCAAGAGTTAGCTGGTATTTTTCCATTATAGCCTAGGCCTGATACTTTTTGCTTTAGCCTAGCCCCACTAGGCTAACAATTCCACAGGCATTGACGCCAAGCCCCAGGGAAAGAGGACAAGGAGACTCTGCCAGCTGGATAGCCCAGGCCCCCTGAAAGTGGCTCTTCTGTCTGTGCCTGGTGGTGGGCAGTGTGTCACAAGCTCCGGAGTGAAGGGGCCCTGTTTTGTTTTTTGTTTGTTTTGAGACAGAGCCTCAAGCTGTTGCCCTGTCTAGAGTGCCATAGTATCACAGCTCACAGCAACCTCAAACTCTTGGGCTCAAGTGATTCTCTTGCCTCAGCCTCCCAAGTAGCTGAGACTACAGGCCCCTGCCACAACGCCCAGCCATTTTTTGGCTGTAGTTGTCATTGCTGTTTGGAAGGCCCAGGATTTGAACCCCCAGCTCTGGTATATGTGGCTGTCACCTTAGCCGCTTGAGCTACAGGCACCAAGCCCCCTCTGTTTAATATGAGTTGAGTGTCATTTGTACAGCGGCCATGCCAGCCTGTGACTCTGCTCACCTCTCCCCCTTGGTAGCACCTGCCTGCCCCCCAGCACAGCTCCCTGGATTGACCTACAATCTCTCTTCTAGCTGCACATCATTGAAGTCGGGCAGCCTGCAGCAGGAAACCAGCCTTTTGTAAAGAAAGCCATGGGTGTGTTCTTCCCTCCGGAGGCGCAGACTGATTTTCCAGTGGCTATGCAGGTACAGATGTGCTGCTGTGTGATGGTGTCTGTCATAGCAGGTTCACCCAAGCACCCCTGAAACACAGAAGGCCACAGCTTCACCTTACTCAAACCCGTTAGAGGCCACAGACTTTGATGTGTGAGCGAGACACGGCAGGTTCCTGGAAAGGGGCGCCTTGCTCAGGCATTAGGGCAACCTGTGCCCACACTCGAAGCCCGAGGGCTTTTCCCTTTTATTATAGAAGGTTAAATGTTCACTGTGGTACAAGAATATATAATGCATGAGAAGAAAACACTCCTTTGTAGTTAGAACAGTGGGCTGTAAAATAGACCAAAGGTCTTACTCCTTGTTATATGAAACAAGTGTATGTAAACCTTTCTCGAACTAAATTGGGATCACATTGTATGTGTAACATGATGTAATCTCCTTTTTACTTTTTCGTCTTATAAAAATTAGTTATCTAGGAATTTCCAGCAATGTCAATAAATGTAACCGCAGAATTAAACATCAGCTGAGATCCCCCCTGCTGGTAGTCGTGAGCGTCCTAACAGGCACGTTTGGTCACAGATGGAATCTCACGGCCACAGCAGTCTCTGGCCTGTCTGCTCGTGAGCTCTCTACCACGTTGCTGAAATATATGTATCTGTTTCTTTTTTTTCCTTTTTCTTCTTTTTTTTTTAGAGACAGAGTCTCACTTTATTGCCGTGGCATCAGAGCTCACAGCAACCTCCAATTCCTAGGCTTAGGCGATTCTCTTGCCTTAGCCTCCCAAGTAGCTGGGACCACAGGCACCTGCTACAACACCTGGCTATTTTTGTTGCAGTTTGGCCAGGGCCAGGTTCGAACCCGCCACCCTCGGTATATGAGGCTGGTGCCCTACTCACTGAGCACAGGCGCTGCCCAATACATGTATCTGTTTCATTGTTTGTGTTACCTGTTCTGTGGATGTGCCCTAGCTCATTTAAGCAATCCTGTTGGTCGGTATTTATGTTTACAATAAATACTTCCAGGAACATTGTGGTCAATTTATCCTTGTACCTTAGTCTAAGAGTCTGAGGATAAATTCCTAGAAATGACACTGCTGGGTCTGAGGTATATGCCCGTTCCTGCTGGGTCAGGGGGTGTGCAGGTCACAGGCTCAGGACCTCACTGCCCTGCCCGTTCCTGCTGGGTCAGGGGGTGTGCAGGTCACAGGCTCAGGACCACATTGCCCTGCCCGTTCCTGCTGGGTCAGGGGGTGTGCAGGTCACAGGCTCAGGACCACACCATCCTGCCCTTTCCTGTTCAAGCTGCTTCTGGTAGTGTCTGGTGGTTTTCATGTCCTCCCACTGTTTACTCTGAAGTTTTGTGCATTTTTTTCTCTTGAGATCTTTATCTTATTTGTAGGAACTCTTTGTGGGTGTAGCATACCAAGGATCTGATGTGGTTTGAATATTATTCCTAGTAATAATTTACAGAGTGAACCACCTTATGGAAATTTTGCAATTTCATGTGGCTGTGCTATTGTCTCTTTTTTTGTTTGTTATGGTATCATGTTTTTTTTTGTTTGTTTTGTTTTTTGAGACAGGAGCCTCAAGCTATCACCCTGGGTAGAGTGCTATGGCATCACAGCTCACAGCAACCTCCAACTCCTGGGCTCAAGCGAGTCT